ATATGTTTTTCATCATAAACGAATAGACACTTGTAACCATCTTTGAAACATTTCCTGATTATCAATTGATCGTGGAACAAGGAAATGTATGAAAACAAGTTTAACCATATTAAGAGCTAGCTTGAGTTGACAAGTACTACGGTTTGTACTTTATTTATTTTAAGTAGTTGGAAACAAGATAAAGAAGATAATGCACTGAAAATATGAACTACAATATCAAATGACCCTATTTACATGCTTAATATATTTAAATCATTGCGTGTAATGTTTTTGTATTTTTTTTGCAAGAAATAAAAGATTTATTAAATTAAAGAAGAAAGTACAATCACTAATGAAAGTAGAAATGAAAAGAAATAACATAAAGTTAATGAAAAATCGCCAATGAAAACAAACTAAAGGATCCATAACCGAATAAGACGCCCCCTCTTGCCAAAGATAGAAACCAACCGCCAAGTTCTTCAATAATATCAAAAACACCAGTCGAAATCACCCGTCTACAAACAAAAATAATCATGACTAAACATCCTTATGAAGAAGAAATCACAAAATTTGAGGTAAATCTAACCCTTGATCTCAGTTTTAGCTTGAATTTAGGAACTTCGTCTAAGCTCAAGTTGAGTAGCCGTTTTTAGTTAGGATCGCTTAACCGAGCAAGCAGTTCCTGATCTGAATCATATTCCGAAGACTCCTTATCTGAAACATCATCAATATCCAATTGAGACCTACCCTTAATTTCTTTTTGCTGACTTTGCTCAAGGAATGATACTTGAATCGGTGTTACTTGCATGACTTCCTCTACATTACTCTCACCCCCTTGATGCCCTAGTCATACCATCACAATTGCTCTCCGTCAAAAGGACACTATCCTTATTAGCATTTTCAGTCTCATGAGGAGAGATAAAATGAGTAGTAGAAGAAAGACAATCATTTAGCAATAAGTCATCTTGAAAGAGTCGGGAGGAGATAGACTCCACAGTCTCACAAACCTCGATCGTTGAGTTAGAACAAATAACTCCTTGGTCCCCCCAACACATTTTCCAGTGTCCTTGTCTTCACCTCTTTTAAAAGATCAAATTGACATAATAAAGTAGAGCTAAAGAGGCAAAACCCAATCTTTTCCTACCCTCTGGTATAATAAAAGTAGAAGTACCTCCATTTTCCATCACCACCAAGCGAATTGAGTCCCCCGTACATATTTTTCTTGAAAGAAAGAGTTTATTTTCTAGAGGTTTCGTACCTAGTAATTTTCCAATCATTCCCCGATTGCAGATGAGAGAAAGCATCATATAACCAGTTGACACCATCATTATAAAAAAGAATAGAAACATTAGGACCCTCTTTGATTTGACTAATTTTTAGCATTAGAGATTGAATCTAAAAAAAAGAGTTTTACTTTCAATGTGAATTTGTTTATGTTGACCTGAGCCAGTAGAACACGGTCCAACCACGTCTGTAACCTGTTTGGTGTCTTCTTTAAGTGTCAGATTATCCTAATGGAGAATTCGGGATGAACTCTTGCGACAATCCCACTGTTCATAATTATGCCAGGATCTCCCTCCACTATCAAAATTAATCCTCTTTGCAAAAGCTGCAAATTGCCTAGGCCGCAACATCCATCTATTCCTCCTCAAAGCCTTGGACTCCTGGAATGAATTTCCATGTCTATCCTGAAATCTACATGGCCCTGGCCGTCAATCTGGGTACCCCCATTATAATCACATCTCTATATTGTAAGTTCAGCCTTTTTAACATCTCTGTATGTTTGAATATTTTTTAACCAAACTCGTCTTTCCTTTTACAAGAAGATCGGGTCATCCATGATAGTAATCATGCACAAATATTCAAAAGATTCACTCACAAGTCACAAACTTATTATCTAGTGCAACAACCATGATAACTAAGCACAACTTATGGGTTTTCATTCAATATAAGAGTCTTGAGTTTATTAAACTCACCTCGCATACAGTAGGAAGATCATTACTTCATTGACATCTAACTTGAGGCAAAGAAAGCACATTGATGTTAACAACGTGTATAACGCAAAAAAAAAACAGATCGCTCCACAGTAATTTCGTGAACATTTACATATCTCACACAATTCAGTTGTCATTTGCTCTTTTACATAATTATTATGAGTCTTGTCAATCAACGGAGAAAAGAATATGACCAAGATAATAAATCATGTTTTTTGTTGTCTCTGATGCAAAAGCACTAATAATAATTTTTTTGAATCTTATAACTAGTAATTGGTGATTTAATGGTGCATTATCTTTCATCGTTTTTTCAACATCAACATTATGCACACTATACCAATTAAGCAATTTCAAGAAAATTCTCTAGTTTAGGGAAGTTTCTCTCATTGTGCCCACAAAAAAGTCAACCCTCATGCAATTAAAATTTTAGCACAACTCACACTTGCATTCAAATGACACGAGTGTTATCCATCACCTAAAACTTGTATTCTTAAAACTGCACTTCTTCAAAGCCTATGCTTTTGATTCTTGAAAATAAAAATAGTGGTCTAGATACATTGTGTACGCTACGTATAAATAGCACATGCTATGTGCACTTCTTGGGAGTTTTTCCAATTATGAAATTTGGTCCGCATAAACACATTGTCTCTAAAACTATTTCCTTCTTCTCCATGGAATATGTAACACCAAAAGAAAAATGAGCATCCTTAGAAGAAATACTATATTGAAATCATTCCCAACATTTAAATCACTCTCCCAATAAATTGAGATCTCTTTCTATTGTTCTGAATTCCCATCATCTTAATCATAAATGTGCAACTTCATATACTAGGATGTCTATCGTTTGCATCACTTTCATTTCTCATGGGAAAATATTTCTCACTGGACCCTATATATATGCATATAAAATTTACATTGGTTTTGAGCTAATTTTTGTAAGATCAGTCAATAAAACGAGGTAATATAATGAAATAATGAATTAAATGATAACAAAATATCGAAAAATATCAATAAAAATGAAGTTATTGAAAGAAAAGTACAAAAATAAGTAAGTATATAAGAACGTTGTCATATTTGATTTATTGGTGGTTAATAGTTCATGTGAAATCAAAAAGGCGTTCAATTATACGGAGTATTACCTTCTTTACAGCGAGCGGTTGTACACACCTTCATTTAATTATAAAAATTGCTCCAAATGAGAGTAAAATAATCTAAAGTTCAAGAATATTAGTGTTGTGTTTTTTCCATATAAAAGTAAGAAAGAATGGCAAAAATAATACTTATATGATTTAGATGGACAAAAATATGACTAATTTTTACATGGACAAAAAGTGATTTAATATCACCTCTCGTCCACCCCCTAACTATCTCTTTCATCATCTATCAACGCGCCAACGACCAATTCCTCATATCTCCTTCATCGTCTACCAAGAGGTGACCATCAACGAAGTCGGCGGCGAATGCATGCGTTCGAAGACGATGGCTACCACATTCAAAGATGACGGTTACCGCATTCGAAGACGACGGATACTGCATCAAAGAAGACAACGACCGCCAGAAGCGACGGTGATGACTTGTTCTTCATCTTCTTCTTCTCCTTCTCCTCCTCCTCCTCCTCCTCCCCCTCCTTCTTGTTGTTGCTCCTCTTCGTTGGCGTTGTTCGTTATCTTCATCGCTCTCATCCTGCACATCGGCGGCGTTGATTATTAGTGTTAGGGTTCCGAAAATTTGACCACGATCTCAGATATGGCGGCAATTCGTGCGGCAAATGGGGCGAGTGGGGGCTGTTGGGGCCAGGTCGAGTTGCGGAGTGGCTAGGGGCTGGGGCGAGGCAGGGTTGTGGTTGTTGGGTGTGCAACGAGTCGCAAGAGGGGCTAGGGGATAGAGTGGTTTGCAGAGGGGTTGGGGCGACGATGGGGCAGGTCATGTGGTGGAGAGGCTAGGTGGCGCTGGGCAAGGTTAGCACTTTACAGGGCAAGGAAGTTGTGGGAGTTGGGGAAGCAGGGGAGGGGGCTCGAGGTGGAGTAGGGGGTCGTAGGCGGTCTCACTCACAGGGAGTGATGGCAGTGATGTCGGCGGCTGTGGGGCGATAGTTTTAGAGCAGAAACTACGGATTATGGAGGTTGTATATAATTTTGACCAGAAAAAGTTGGCAGAAAATTTTCTAGTGACACAATGACACGTTTCACGAGAACAATGATATCCAAAAGTGACATAAAAATTTGATAATGACATATGACAATGACATAAAATTGTGAGGGTGACATAAAATTTGGCATTAACGTTATGTTTTTCCAAAGATATGACCGACATTTCTGTCCTTTTACAAAATTGGTCACATTTTCAACAATTGGTTTTAATTTAGTATTATTTCAGGCAAAAGTCCAAAAAGTCATTCTTAAAATGTTTGGAATTTAGAAATATTAATTAACGTGCGTAAAGCCAAAATGTTACTCCCTCCGTCCCCAAAAGGATTGCCAAGTTTGACCGGCACGTAGAATAACAAAGTAAAAATTGTGTGGTAGAGATTTGTGCAGAGGAGAGTGAAATAACAGAAGGCATAAATTGATTGATTTAAAAGAAAAGTGACAAAGTTTTTGGGATAACCAAAAAAGGAAAGTTGTCAAAGTTATAAGGGACGGAGGGAGTACAATGTTACTCTCCGTTCCGCTAAGATTGTCCCACTTTATCTTTTTATTTCGTACATTAAGACTGTCTCATATCAAATATGAAAAATTTATGTGACTAAATCATTTTTACTTAATCAATTCAATATCAACACATAAATCACTTTTTATTTGTTTGCGTATCGCTCCCGCTTATATAAGTGGGAGGGAGGAAGTTTTTGGGACGGCAGTAGCGTTTTTTCATTTAATGAAAATATAACGTTTTTATTAGATTTTTACGTCGTTTTTACTCTCATTTCAAAAAATATCCTATAATTATGACATTTAATAAAAATATTTTAACCCTGAAGGTACTTAATTTAATTTTTTAATGAAAAAAGAGTACTCTGTAATCCGTATGACGCAACAAGCGCACACTTGGCCTTTCTAGAACTTTCCACAGCTTTCTGGTCCATGCTGATGAAGATTTCCAGATTAATCTGCCCTCGCCGGGAGTCTTATTTCCATGCCAAGCTCCGCATATTGATCAATCAATCATTCGCGCGACGTCCTAAGTGCTTCGAATTTCCCTGAGAATAAAACGCAAGGGAAAAGGCAAGATTGAAAACGTGAATAAGAGAAAGAGATCGGAGGTTGAAGAAGAGATGGGGGTAGACTACTACAAGATATTGGGTGTCGATAAGAACGCCAAAGACGATGACTTGAAGAAGGCTTATAGAAAGCTCGCTATGAAGTGGCACCCCGATAAGAATCCCAATAACAAGCGAGATGCTGAAGCCAAGTTCAAACAGATCTCCGAAGCTTATGATGTATGATATCTCTGCCTCTGACTTCCCTCATCTGTTCTATATATGTTACGAATTAGCTTTCAAAGTATCTTCACTAGTTTGTATGCACAAGTACAGCTTCGTTCGTTTGATATGTTCTGCAAATCTAAACTTGATATTCGATGTTTGGCTTTCCTTGATTAATTAGGTTTAATATTTCATGAAAGCTCATGTTTTTTATGCGTAAAATTCATTAGGTTCTAAGTGATCCTCAGAAAAGGACTGTTTACGATCAGTATGGTGAAGAGGGACTCAAAGGTGGTGTACCCCCGCCAGGTGCTGCCGGTCCTGGTGGTGGTGCCTCATTCTTCTCCACCGGAGATGGGCCCACCACATTCAGATTCAACCCTAGGAGTGCTGATGACATATTTGCGGAGTTTTTTGGGAACTCTAGCCCATTCGGAGGAATGGGAGGTGGCCCTGGAATGAGTCAATCAAGGTTCGGAAGTATGTTTGGGGATAACATATTTTCCTCCTTTGGTGGGGACGGTGGTGTACCCATGCACCAATCAGTGCAGAGGAAAGCACCTCAGATTGAACAGACTTTGCCCTGCAGTCTTGAAGATCTCTACAAGGGCACCACCAAGAAAATGAAGATTTCTAGAGAGATTGCCGATGCTAGTGGGTAAGTAGATTTCCTATTTCATTTCCTATTTCAATTCTCAGTCATCTATTCATAGCATTTACTCTTGAGGGATAAGTTTCTTTTTAGTTTTGTGTATACTAAAAATGAGTGTTCAATTTGTTCTTCTTTGTTGCTGAACCATCATTGCATATGTGAGTCTGAGTAATTGCCTGTATTGGGTCAACTATTATTGAGTGCTATTAAGTAGTATTATAAAGATGTAAATCTACTTGCAGAAAGTGGTATACTGGTATTGCATATATGCATCTGTTGTATGGAGTCCTTGGTTTGCGTGGTTCTAATTCTTTGGATGAAAAGAAAAGGCAAAGGTCTTTGCTAGTCTGAAGATATTGCAAACAAATTGCGTAATCACTTTGTATTTGAAAGGAGATTACATAGTAAGTTAAGTAGTAAATCAAATGGTGAAGGCCTTTGTCATCTCATAGAGCAGAAAAAGAGGGCGTTTGGTTAAGCTGTTTCAGAAAATGCTTTTTGGTTTGGCGACATATGTGGTGAAAAGAGTGATTCCTAACATTTTTTTGTTGTGCTTGGATGGATTTCTTACAAAACATTATGTAAAATATAATGTTTCAAATGCATTTTATGTGCCAAGTGATTGAAAAGGAAAACATTTGTGTTCAAGGTTCTATTTGAAGGTTCAATTTTTAATTCAATAGAACTCTCAAACCAAGAAGCTACAATTTCTAAATTCTTCTCTTGAGCATCATGTGGTCTCCAAACACTTGGTGCATGGCCTCCTCCACTGAAATAGAGTTTCTGTGCCCAGAAACTCTGGACAAACACCCCCTTAATCTCTTGTGGTTGTTGAAAATATTTCTGGTAAAGCTCTGCCTTTAGTGTGATATCAGTTCTCTCTAACTATTACTTTGGACACAAATATCTTTTTTTGCAGAAAAACAATGCCTGTGGAAGAGATTCTAACCATAAACATCAAACCAGGGTGGAAGAAAGGAACAAAGATCACCTTCCCTGAGAAAGGAAATGAGCAACCAGGCATTACCCCAGCAGATCTTGTCTTCATAATTGACGAGAAACCTCATAAGGTATTCACACGTGATGGAAACGATTTGGTTTTCACTCAAAAGATAACTCTTGCAGAGGCGTTGACTGGCTACACTGTCCATCTCACCACTCTGGATGGCAGGAACCTAACCATCCCTATCAACACGCCAATTCAACCTAATTACGAGGAAATTGTCCCTAGGGAAGGTATGCCCATCCCTAAAGATCCATCGAGGAAGGGAAACTTGAGAATTAAGTTTGACATCAAGTTTCCTACTAGGCTGAATGCTAGTCAGAAAGGTGGGATTAAAGAACTGTTAGGTTCTTCTTCTGTCTGAGAATGATGGCAGATCCCATGAGATTATATGTACCATTAGAGTAGGAGAGTGGTTGTTTTCTTGCACTGTGTTTGTTTGAAAGATTTATGGAGCATTCAAGTTTTCTATCCACTTTACTTAATTTTCAAGTACAGTGTTCACAAGCTTCTCCATTCTTCATCTTTGAGATGAAATAATTATAGAAGCAATAATAAGAACAGATTAATTTTGCAAAAAAAATCTGCTTTAGTTTTCAGTATTGTATTACTGTATTATAGGAGTTCATTGTTGTACTATTAGTCTGAGAATATTCCTTTTTATTTCATTCTTTTTTTTTCCAATCTGTTCTCAAGTATCTCCCGCTTCTTTATTATGTAAATCAAAAATGAAATTTTCACTTCACTAAATAACCATTCAAAAGCAAATATTATAGAAATAAGTAGGGGATTGGATGTTGTTTTATCTACGTACTTGAATTCTAATTGATATTGCCTTGGTTATATCTTAGTCCTTCCCAGGGTTACGTACAATATTGGTATGAGATACGGAGTAAGATTTAGTGCCCCTGACAACTATAAGAAGATTCCCATGCTATTTGGCAAGGGTTGTTTGGTTGGGAAAGGGAAGTACTGTATATGTTTAGTAACGTCTATTTTAGCTGAATAAATTTAAAAGATACGTTCATTAGTTCATAATTTCATATAAGCGGAATCACCAAACAAATTCAAAATTGGGTAGAACTCAAACCTCATTGACCTAAACATTTATACATTGTTTTTATTTTGTCAATGTTTTTATTTTGTTGGAGTGTATTAGTAGTACATCATGTATTTTTATATAGGAAATCATTTGCATTTTAACCAGCTAAATGTAGAAATTACTTAAAATAAACATTGCACATTTTCCCCTCCTTTCCCTTTAAAACCCTCGAAGGCTCGAACCAAATAAGCTTTGGAGGCGTGGATGTTAATCAAAGCTTTGGAGGCGTGGATGTTAATCACGGGAGAGAGGGAAACCAATTCCATGGCGTCTGGTGGGGAATGCAATGAAAAAGAGGCTAGACATGAAGCCAACACCGACTGGCAAAATTGAAAGAAGTTCTTCCGTCTCCGGGGATGGCGAAGGGTACAAACAATTCACAACGTTTTTATCAAGCAAAGCAGTCGCGGCAAAAACCAAGACCGAGTTGAAGGCGTGGAAGAAATCCAACAACCTTATCCTGTGTTTGGCAGCCTCATCCGGGGACAACGTGACGGAAGATAAATCAAGAATGAAGAGCCCATGGAATGTGGCAAGCCCATAGCGGACTTTTCCCCTCTCATCCCGAAAGCTATCGGTGAAACATAGGAAGAAACAAGAGATGGCACATCCGACGAGAAGAGCCACGGTCATTGTTTGGCTCACCACAGATATGCATTTGCCTTCATGTGTGAAAGCTGGGGCAAGAATCTGGAATGCCAAAACTGTCCCTGTGGGGAGGAGGTTAGCCAAATGTGCTGTCCCTTTGAAGGCCTTCCTCATCACTCTCTGGGATGGTGTTTTCTTGGGTTTTGAATCTGTTTCTTCATCTTGTAACAATGGCAAGCCAACATGCTCTTGTTCCTCCATTGTTTTGATTTTGTTGGCAATCTAATAAGCTTATGGTTTGAAATAAAGTTTCAAACCACGCGAAATTAACCCAGATTCTTTTTTCCGAAATTGTTTGATGAAAATGGGGATTGGGTTTGAAAAGATTTATATGAATGGATTGATGATGAACGAGAAACATGGAGCAGGAGCGTATGTGTTTTCTTTACGCCCCATACAACATTCTTTGAGATTTGAGGTTAAACAAGAATTTGCCCAATGGAAAGTTTTGAAAAATAATAATAATAGTAATAATAATTGTAATATTAATAATAATACTCCGTAACAAATACTACGTACTACGTATCAGTTGTATGTGATGCATTTTCTAACTCAGTGTCCAAACCTACGATTCTTTTAATATAAATTTTGTACAATTTTTACGTCTCTCCTACGATTAGAAATCAAATAAAATTACAAATTACATATGTTACTAGTGGTTAGTATATGTCCAATAAGTGCATTTTTAATTTGTATGTTTAGAGCTAGCTAGTTAGATGTAACAAATAAAAAATATGCAGTAATAAACAAAACATATAACAGATATATTAATATAACAAAAAAGTTTTACTAATGACAAAAATAAAGATAAAATTATATTTGATCAAACGGTACACCTTAGATAATCGAATCCATCTTTTTTGGGATCATTTCAAGATTGATTGATTCAGTACAGTACAAAGATATTACTCGTCAATTTAAAACACATTAATCAGTTTGATATCATTATTGTTTAATTTGGTACAATCCATATTATAGTGTGGCAAGAGCCAAGAGATGGTATTTTCAATTTTCGGTTACTTGTGTATTTATGTCACTATGTGAACTAATTAATATGGATTAATTACTCATCGTCAATCCGTGGTATTTGGAGTTTCAATTCATTTGAATGGTAATTCAAGATGTCTTGGGATCACAATGAGCCCCTTGATCTTAAGGATCTACTTGCAAGAAAAGCATTGTCTTTATCATTCAATGATGATCAAGATATATTAAATGAGCCTAAACTTCCGATGACAAAGAGTAAGAAGGATTACTCTTCTGATGGGGAGACCATTCCTATTAAACAGTTAGGGATGGCAACGGGGCGGTTCGGGGTCGGATATACCATTACCCGTACATGCCCCGTTTGATAATATTTTTCCCCGAAACCGTCCCGTTACCCGTCGGGTATTTTTTACCCGCGGGTAACAGTTTTCCCCGCGGGTAACGGTTTTCCCGCAGGTAATCATTTTATTAAAAGGTAATTTTTTCTTCAAAATTAGTATATATCCTAAAATGATAATTAACTACTTATAATTGACCACCTAAATTAAAAAAATCAAAATTAAATAGCACCACTTGTTTTATTAAAAGATAATTTTTTTCTTCAAAATTAGTATAAATCCTAAAATGATGATTAACTACTTATAATTGACCACCTAAATTAAAAAAATCAAAATTAAATAGCACCACAGATAAAGTTTTTTAAAATATCACAAAAAATTACAATCTTTTGAACCTAATATTCACAAATTATATATGTCTAGATTCAAAATTATGAATCACTTACTACATCAACATCAAAAGATTAAGTCTTGTCTCAATAGTAAAATCTAAATATGAATAACAAAAACATTTAACTTCCAAAAATTCAATAATCATACCCCACCAGCATTCAATATCTAAATTTAAGAACAGTAATGTATACAAGTAATATAATGAAAATGAGAAGTTTTTTTCCTAAAATATTACTAATAAAAAATATATGGACATAAATGTGACTATAAGTTATCGTGGGTTAGTTTTATAGTCACTACGATATAACACTTGAATAAAATTATAAACACTAAAGTTACTAGAGTCGCATTTTTGGCCACAGCTTTTATTTTGATTATAGATTTGGAATTATTTCTAAAAAATGTACTTCTTATACTATGATTTAGGTATTCTTGTAGTTACTTTTTTAGAAACCTCATAATTTAAATTTAAAACTTGATATAAATTAGAGCAACCAATCAAAATTAATCTAATTATCCAACACACCTCTACAAGATTATTAGCAATTACATAAATTAAAGCAATCTAGAGTAATGTTTCCCAATATTCGGACTTTAAACTTATATGTGAGCTTTATGAAAGTTATTGGTTGAAAAATTAAGAGAGTCACAATATGAAAATTGTACACAGAAAATCACGAAAATCAAATAATCAATATGTGAAGAAAATAAATCTGGTAGAAGTTAACAAATGAAGGATGATGAATGAAATTGAAAATTAAAAATCTAAATTAGTGAACTTTGAGCACCGACTCCTCATAATTGCAAATGATAGCCGATTAGTTGAATATTTTTCAAAAAAATATAGGGAATAAGTGTCATATACTAATGTACTACTATTCACATATACTTAATATATTAAATAATAAATACATAAACTATTAAAATATGTAAGTTAATTGTGCGGGTCGGGTAATGGTGCGGGTAACCGTATTCAAATTAAACGGGGTGGGTAACGGGGCGGGTAGGTATAAACCCATAACCGCCCCATTACCCGTTTACATAAATCGGGTATTCCCCACCTCGTACCTGTTACCCAGTCAAAGCGGTTTTCCCCATTTTGACCGGTTCGGTGCGGGTATTCATCGGGTCGGGTTAAATTGTCATCCCCCTATAAACAGTCCATGGAGCAATGGAAAGAAGAACTCCCCTCCATCTGTAGAAAGGTTGCATCTATAGTCAGAAAGGCAAGATCAATACAAGATAAGGGGGAATGCCTTTACCGGAAACTGAAACTGTTCAGCTTAATAAAAAAGGAGGAAGCACACCATTACCAGAGGAAAAAGTGACTGAAGATAATGCGAAATCAGTTACTTTGGAGAATGATACATAAGATACAATTTTAGAAGTTCCCTCAAATCATATTGAAATACAACACAAACGGAATGTTCCTGAAGAGAGAAATACAGAAAATGAAGAGTTCATTACGGTCAAGAAGAAAAGGAGAGGGAGACTTAGAAAGAATGAAGATAACAATAAGTAAAAGTTGACAGTATCATAAAAAATTCAGCTAGTAAGCTCTCTCAAGCTTTAACAATCAATAATCAATGATTAATGTCCTTACCTGGAATGTGCGTGGTCTGGTTTCATCCTGCACAAGACTGCGTGATATTATCAAAATCAGGAATATTCACCTTTTAGTGGTTATTGAGCCTATTGTTGCGATAGCAAGATCAGATTTCTTTAAATTGGAGTTCGATTTTAATAAAGTCTACACATTTTTTTTAATAAAATCTGGATTTTTTGGAATTTAGATATTATTTCTATTTCAGATTTCATAAGCGAGGAGCAGTTCACTCATATGAAAGTAGGAATTGGAAATTCAAATTTTTGGTTTACAGCTATCTACGAGGCTCACACACATGTTGAGAGAAGAATTATGTGGGCTTATTTAAATGTTTGGTCTAATTCTAATTTGGAACCCTGGTTCATTGGGGTGACTTTAATGCAGTAGCTCGACATGATGAACATAAAGGAACCTCTATTCCAATATTGAAAGCATGATGGAGTTTAAAGATTGTTTAGCATATAGCAATTTGATTGATCTTCCATAACAAGGGTGCAAATTTACCTGGACTGGAGTGAGAATAAATGGAAGGCCGTGGAGACGTTTGGATATATATTATGTTCAATACCTCTTTCTTAGACTGCTTTGATCATATTCAGGTGAAAAACATGAACAAGTCCTCTTCGGATCATAATTCCTTATTTTTATCCTGCAAACACAACTTGCATCAAGGCCCTAAGATGTTTAAGTTCCGAAACACGTGGATGACTCACCCCTCCTTCCTAGACACTCTCAAACGGAACTGGCATAAGCATAGGTTTGGTGGGGGCATGAAGGGGATATTTTCCAAATTAAAATGCCTCAAAGCAGAATTGAAAGAGTGGAATAACAAATCTTTTGGGAACATTTTTAAAGACTTAAAGACCTGTGAAGAGGTAGCACTGAAAGCTGAATCCACCTTTCAATTAAACCCAACCCAAAGTAACAGGGAGGAGTGGTCTATCAAGCAAAGCATGTTAATTGCTAAACATAAACAAGTACGCATGTTTTGAAAGCAGAAATCCCATATTAAATGGCTTAAAGAAGGAGATGCCAACAATCATTTCTTCAATTCATTTGTTAACATAAGAATGAAGAGGCAGATTATTACCCAAGTAATTGATGCCTATGGCCAAACTTGTGATACTCAAGAGGAGATGGGCAAGGCTGCAGTTGACTACTAACGGCACTAAAGTCGTATGTTCCTCAAATTAAATTCAATACTTAACATTTATACATGGTATAGTGTAGTAGAGTTCGTATCCACATGGAAAGGAATACTTTTCTTTTATGAAACTAATAATTAAAAAGGGGGGTTTTGGGATTGTTTAATTTTAATTAATTAAACACTAAGATGAACGACTTATATGATTTTAATTAATGAGATAAAAGACTTGGTTTTGCTACTTTTCACTTGTTGATATGTTTGCTGATTTCGGTTATATCTATAATATATCCCCTCTCGAATACTCAATCGATGAGTATCTCCAAGTCATCGAGGGTAGTTATTAATAACGACCGTTCATTAATAACCCTTACTATTAGCCAAGTATAGAACACCGTCATATTCTGACTTGATAGTAGCATTTAATCTCTTAACCACTTGATAAAATCAATTGAGATTGATAACCTCAACACAACTGTTTTGGTTTAACCAACAAAAGTAATCCCTCTTAATATTATTAACCACGACCGTGCATTAATAACTTGAAGTTCCTTACTCGTGAAACCATCAATGATTAACCATCGGTTAATTGATCATTTGTAATAGTAATTAATGTCAAGATGTTAACTAATTGTCATCTTAGCAACACTCCCCGACATTAATATTGAGATAGAATAAGGGAAGAATTAATATTCAAGGGTAGAAGTAAGAAAATAACTAACAACTTTAACATTCAACAAGTTTCAAGAGCAAAACCAAGAAATGGAAGTTTAGCTCCTCATTTGGAGACTAAACAATGCTAGAAAAATATAAAGAAAATACTATTTATGAGTTGAACATATGGAAGAAGGGATGATTA